CATCATCGACAGAGGTTCGGTCATTTTTAAAACGTGAATGCCACACAAACGTTTGTGCACGACCCATTGCGGACTCCCCAAATGCTTGCTTTAGCATTTCATAGGTTTCCGTAGCCGTTTTGGCGAGTCTTTGGCAAAATTTGATGCACACGCCATTCCGAAATCGCAGGAGGGTCGGTGTAATGCACTACCAAAACGCCCGTAACTAAGAAACAAATGCTAATTCGATGATGCCGGCTGGCACACTGATTCACTATGAATGTAGGCCGCACCCCATAGCGGCAGAAGCTCGTACTACGTCCGGTTCGCCCTCTATTGACACAGTCTTGAAACTTTCCGATCGCACCTCGTATTTGTGATTTTCATAATTTTTATGTGGATGGTCGCTCCTTGAGCTTCTAGACGTCGCACTTGTACACTACAGGTCACTCTGACACACACCGGAAAGTTGTCTTAAGTTAGCCCGGTGTGTCTTTATCAAGGACCCTTCATCTCCCTGTACATTGCATCAATTTGGGTGGCTTTTTCTACTGTAAATTACGCAGAGCTGAACGCGAACTAGGCCGAGGACTGAAAGTCAAACGAAACTTCAATCAGAGTTAAGAAGGGAGGAAACGTGTCTTCTTTCAATCCCTTTATTTCTGGGTTAGAACCGAACGACACACCTTTTACGTGTGGATGCCATTTTCAAACATGATTTTGAATACGAATAACTGCGGTACCAATTAAAGAACATTCATTTGAGGGTGGGGGCTGCTCGCCCTTTGGGTATAAACATGACGTTATGGAAATGACTTCATCAACGATGCATTTTGATGCCCGGTTCCTCTCCCATGGGCTTGCGCTGTTCAGTGACGGCAACGAAGGGTAGAATCTGCCCCCCTGCACCGCCAAGTCGTGTGCTAAAGGAATTTACGTACTGCTTTTAAATGTTATTGAACGTGTAGTGTAAACCCAGGACCCTGGGGGTTAGTGTGGGGGAAGGGGAGAGAGGGACCAATTGGGCAATAAACACTTTATGCAAATTAGGGTTTTAGTACTGCGCCAGATAAGGGAGAGGGACACACTGCAAAGGGCTTATCGTTCGTGAAAGGGCCTCGGGGAAGGAGAGGGCGATGGGTTCGCAGAAGAGCAACGAGAGGGTTTCCAGATCTTTGTTGTGCGTAATTTCGAATTGTATCGCGAATTCATTGCCTACGCAGTGTCCGGAAGTCCTCCGAAGGACGAGGGACTTCCTTGCAGGTGGTCGGTTATGCTGACGGCTTAACGTCGTCATCTGTTCCGCTGCTACAAAGCCGATACCACGCACCGAAGTCTTCCTCAGTCCTGAGATCACACAGATGAACGGGACAAATTATTCTGAAACCAGGTCTCTCAACCAAAATGAACGAACTCCACCGAACAGGACATCTGGTAGTTCCTCAGAGAATTCCAGACAATTCCGGCATTTTATACATCTCGAAAGTTCATTATCGCGTCAACAACAGCCAGCCACTAGCCCCGTTTCATCAATCAGACGAATTCATTACAACACAACTTTTTTCTTTGGGATCTAATTTAATATTACTGTCAAGCCTACGACTAGGTATCCCACCGGTTCATGCTTTCGGGTGTACTGACCAATTTGTTATGCATTTCTCACATTTACAAGCATCCTAAGTTCCCTACTCATCTCACCTCCTTTCGCCATATGATCACCGTAATATTATTTGGTGAATAATATATATATGCCTACAAATATGGAGCTCCTCATTACGAATTTTTTTTTCCAATCTCCTGTCACTTTAGCCCTCGTAAGTCCACGCCAATCTTCTGTCACTTTAGCCCTCGTAAGTCCACGTATTATCCTCGGCGCCCTGTTGTCAAACACCCTCAGTCCACGTTCATCCCTTGGGATGGGACACGCCCGTACAAAACAGCTGATAGAATTATGATTTTGTATAGAATTTCAATATTTACGTCTTTAGACCGGAGACAAGATTTTATGAGAGACCAACGCGTGTTTTTGTTCTAAACTATTTCATTGGAGGTTTGTACTAAACGTCTCTGGACGAATTTCAATTTAATTTTTAATTAGAATTTTCGGGGTCTATTTGACGAGATTTGGAAAGTTCCCATTTGCTGTCCGTCCTTCAAGAACTTGGGAAATTAATCCCTGGACACCAGAACGAATGACTGTTGGTGTACCTGAGGACGTATTGCAATCGGAGAGTGGGCATGCTTGTTACAATTCATCATCACAGTTTCATTCTCATCTTCCCAAATACTGTCTCAAATCCTAAAATGTAATTTTTGTTATTTAATGAGTTTCAATGTTTCATCTCTACTAGTAGTCCGGACGCATTCCGATTAGTCAAGACAAGACAAAGAGACAATTGATGATGGAAAAATGTGGAAATACATTCGTTAAGTTGACGTAAATTTACAAGTTCACTTTCTCGCGTAGAACTGTCAGTGTTTAACTCCAGAAACCATAAAACTACGTGCATCAGACATTTATGCCATCAATTAAAATGTCACTTCGAGTTACTCAACATTCTTCTCAGGATTTTAAGACGCCTCGGACTTGTTCCTACACACGATCCAATTCGGACGGAGAACTTCTTCGCTCTCCGCTCAAAGGCGCGTCGTCAGTGCGCAGTCGCGACCAATTCAGGCAAAACCGGGCTAGAACTTGAGCGCCTGCAAGTGAGTCTTGAAAACTTCCCTGTACAGTAAATATCGGACCGTGTGTAGGAAAACGGTGTGGTTTCTTCCTCAGTTACTCTGGACTTCCAAACAGGCGGTAGGATGTATAGGCCTGTGCTGTGTTTTTTACACACAACGCGGCTGATTTTTTGAAACTATTCGGAAGAGTTCATTTCTGATTTCATATATATATTTTAAATCTTGTCCGTCTAATCACAATAA